GTGTCCTTACACATATCTTAAACATTTGTCCCTTTTGGCGTTCCATACTGTGCGATCTGCTCTCGACAGCATGTGGTCGGCATTTTGCCAAGTCCCGAGTATAATGTCCTACGCACTGTGCGCCCGTCTATGTTGCAGGCAGATATTGGGCATCCACACACACACAGGAGCATATATGCCCTGCATACGAATGGAACTTTTGAGTTGGCAATTTATATTTTAGGGGTTTTTGTCAACGGCGCTTCACATGTGTGAAAAAGTATACCAGTTATGCACTCATGCAGCTGACTCCAATATTTTAGCTGTCATCTCATGCACAATTCACGCTTATATCTCTTACAGTTGATTTTTACCAAGTTTTGAAGAATAAAGAAGTTTTTATTGTAACTTCCGGTCTGATGACGTCATCAGCCCCAAACTTCACACATGTGGTGACTGGGTAAAGATGGTCATCTACATCAATTTCCAGGCGATTCGGACAAACTTTGCCACAGACATCCTTTCAAAATTCATTTTTTGGAATTTTTAACCTGTCGCTAGAGGGCGCTGGTCAATTAGGTGACGTCATTAGTAGATAAGTTGAAAAATACTATTCCCCAACAGACTAATACCGTTGAAAACAACTCGATAACTATTACCACTTTTAAACAATAAGACCACTTCCGGTTTTGACAGGAAGGAAGGGTCACATGATTTGACCCACATGAGATGAATTGAAGACCACATTTTATCCTGGCACTTGCTGCAAACAGAATGTCGCGGGAGGCCACGGTTGATTTTATATGGATTTTTATAAATTTAACTGAATATTTAAATATTCAAAATTTAATAATAAATCATGTGATGATATCATGACGTAAATATTTCAGAATTATCCTCATTTTATAGTTAGTACTTGCTGCAAGTTTGACAACAATCAACGATTACTAAGGTACAAAAATAGTGCCTCAAAAATGTGTACAAAGGCAATCGGCTTTAAAATCAATAATAAATCACTTGATGACATCATCATGACATCATGTTTCTAGGACCATCTTTGCATAAGGGTTCATCATTGGTATACATGTAAGTTTGATGATGACCCAAAGTTGCAAAATCATTAAAGTCACCGGTAGAATAAACATGTACAAAACAAACAGGCTTCTGAGCAGAAGAAGAAACAGGAAGAAGAAGCAAAAAAAAGCGAACAAAACGAATGCTTTTTCGCAAAATTCTGTCATCATGTCTGTCTACAAAACACATCTGAACACCTCTTTTTC